GATGTGGAACGACAAAACTTGAAAAACTTTATCGTTTCAATTGTTGACTTTATTTTTGTGTTTTTATGATGTAAAGCACTTTGAACTGCCTTGTTGCTGAAACGTGAAATACAAATTTGATTGATTGATTGATTGATTGATTGATTGATTGATTGACCCTGCTGATTTTTGTGCCCAGGTTTTACTTTTGGAGCAGACAGACATTGGATATTTTAAAGAATTTGGGATTTTTGTCCACTTTTTCATTTGCTACACTTTGTGCCACAGTATGATACTTCCACCTCCCCGCTTGACACCTAGTACATTGATTATTTGGTAACACTTTGACGGGGTAACACTGTCATAAATGTGATGTAACACCTGACATGAAGATAATGGAGTCTTCATGAATTTTACGACTGCTGTCATGAAGTGTTATTCTGTAAATAACGACACTTTTAATGCAAGGTTGCATTAAAAGTCCATTAAAATGATCAACTTTGCATTGAAAGTGTCATTATTTCATTTTTAAATTTGCAGCTCTCTTCTGCGTAAGTTCAATTTTTTTCCTTTCATAACAGAAAAAAAAGTTTGTGTTCCTCATTTATGCTCAATTTGTTTTTGAAATGAGGGAAATTCTGAGATTTTTCTGTTGACTGGGCAGAAGCGTGTGACCCGCGGAATCAATAGCCATGCTCTCGCAAATGAAGATGCACATGGGGTTAATTATAACGAGGCCTATTAATCAATTTATCTCAGCGGCAACTGCTGTTGGTAATTTGGCCTAAATACCTGCGAAATGCCCACACAAATGCTGCAATTAGTGCGACACGATTAGCTTCCAATCGGGGGAGGAAGCCGCAGCCCCGGTGAGCCTCAGTGGAAGCAATTTACATGAAAGAACAGAGAAATGATAAAGGAGGGGAAGGGAGGACAGCTACCTGGGTTCTGGACGTAGGACTATGGGAGCATATCTACCAGAGAATTTGGTTTATATCCATATGGATGGAAAAAAGGACAATTAAACAAAAAAGTGTCAGGAACAGGATCAGAGCGTTTCAAACACAGCACTTCATCAGTTCTGATGGCTTTTAAGATCCAATGGTTATTACTCCTGCTGCTGCTCAACGTGGGGTAATTAGCTCCGTGGTAACGCGCTAAAGTGTGTACACAGTTCATATGGCTGCAGCTGCGTCAGAGTTCAAGCTGAACAAGCTGCTGGTTTGACGCCTGCACAGCTGTCTGCAGACTGACTGCAGCACAACTCAACTCAAATCCATCAGCGAAGGATTTCACAGCCCAGAGTCTGCAGGACGGAGCAGCTGGAACTTCTCATGGATTCGTACAAGTCATCAAGTTAACTGGATCCTCATTAACATTCCGGAAGGAACAAGATGATCTGCTGGAGTAAGAGAGAAAAACATGGCAGCCCAGGAGAGTTAGAGGGACCAGTGCTGACCCAGAAGCTTTACTGGTTCTGCTTTAACTGCAGCACTGGACTGGGATAAAGCCTGGGGATCTGAGGAAGGCGGAGCGCCGGAAACGTATGCAGCTGTGGAAACGCATTCAGGCTCTGAATGCGTCTTTAACATCTGAACTGGCAACCAGAAATAAACACACTGCAAAGAAACAAAATCTCACCAAGTATTTTCATCTAGTTCCTAAGGTAAATATCTTAGTACACTTCTAATAAGACAAAACTAACTTACATGTTTTCAGCAAGATATAGGAGATTGCTTTAAGTTAATTTCTTAATATTGATGAGAAAGTACTAGTTATATTGGAAGATTATTTCACTAATAACATGGGGAAAATATTCTGTTATTAGTGAAATAATCTGTTAATGGAACTGGCATTTTTTTTAAATCAAAACTAAGAAATTGTTGCCTTAAAACCAGCTCCAGTTTCTTGGTGGATAGTTACTTATTTCAATGGCACTAAGATATTCCTACTAGAAATGAGAGAAAAATACTTGCTAAGGCTTTGTGTTGCGTTTTTTCAGTGCAGTGCTGATGCTAATCTTACACATCCACTGAACTGCTGAGCGAAACGCGTCTCCTGCCGGTTTACTTTGAGAGTCCTTGAGGTTGGTAAAAATAAAGGAAAACCTAATTTATTTGCAAAAAGCAGCATTTTCCTGCTTCTTTTGTGTTATTTGTGGAGCAGAACTTGTGAGTCATCCAGGGATGAAGGTGCATTTAGGCTTTCCTTCCCTGGTTGGGGCTGTCAAACAGGTGCCCCCCTCCCAACCCGCCCCCCGCTGCTGTACCGGCGCCGGATGTCAACACGCCCTTACAGCTCTCAGGAGTGCCTTATCACGGAATTCAGACTCCATAAAACGCTGCTTATCACAATAAATCTGGGGCCTAATATGGATCACTGTTTGCTCCCCGACCATCAATCTCTAAAGCGGTGCTGCAAAGTCAATACGACATGGGCCTGCAGTAAATTCCTGCTGGGAAACTTTTTCTGCACCGATAGCTGTTCTCTTCCATGTGGCAGCTAGCTTTGAATAGAAACATGCAGCAATGTGTTTGTTTGTTGTTGTTTTTTTAAATCATGACAAATACAGTTGAGTGCCTCAGTGTGTGCCGATGAACAGGAAGTGGCCGTTTCTGACGCATTCCTCTTTGTTCTTTGGCGACAGTTCTGAGGACGGACGTGTTGGACGGGATTCTTACTCCCTGGCCGCGCTAATGTGCACCAAAGCTTTTCGGTTTCAATTCATCCTGGAAGCTCAACAATGAATGTGGTGAGGGGTTTTCCTTTTTTTTTTTGTAGTTTTTTTCCCAGCCATCAAGACATCCAACACATTTCCTCCAAAATCCCCCCACCTTTCTCTAAGGATTGTCAGCAAGCAGGAAAAAAACCCCCAAAATAAACTATGTCCCGTTTGTTGGATTCCTTCGATTACAAGATGGAGGAAAACTGGAGGAAGCAAATAGAAGCAGATGCTCAGACAATGTGGATCCCAAACTATTTCCTTTAGTAAGGAGGACAAGTTTCCATTTTGTCATCTGGTTCCAGATTTACAGCTTTTTGCATAATAAGAATTAAATAAAGAATAAAAATTAAATGAAAAAGTAAAATCAATGAATACATATATAAATAAATAAATGTATTGTATTCATTTCATTTTACTTTTTATTGAAAAAAGTTATATATATATATATAACATATATATAAATAATATATAACTAAAATACATAAATAAGTAAAAAAATTATCAATAACCTATGCAAATAAATAAATAAAACAAAAAATACAGAAATATAGTTAATAAACACAGAATAAATAAACATCTGATGGATATTATATCATAATAAAATGTGTATACATACATACAATGCATAAGATTTAAAACTTTCAGATAACCATTTAACTGTCACATCAAAACACTTACATGCAAAAGTCAATAGGTCCATGAAAACACTAGTGTCGTCATGGCAATTAAGGGGTTAAACTAATTGATTCATCAGTTAATTTTATGTTCAGATAAATTGAGATGTTACAGTGTTTCCAAGTGCTGATCTGTGTGTAATTCTGCAGCTGTTTCTTACAGTGCAAATCATATAAATCCAGTATAAATCAACTTTTGCTGCTTTTTCTGAACTCAACCGAGGAGAACGTCAAACTCTTTTAAACGTACGAAGTGAAGACAGGAAGACGGTGAAGCAGGGCAATTATTTTGAAGGATCTACCATGAGGCAGCTTCCTGTTCCAGACATAACCACCGTTAAATGTTCCTTTAACAAATGGCTGCTGTTTAGCGTCGCGCTCCCGCATGGCCCAAACAAAGCCCAACACAGCAGCTGTTATGTAAAACATCGATGCAACCTGCCTCCAAAGCCTTTTTTCTTCTGACAGGGGAAAAAAAAAAAATCAAGTTGAGGGGAAAATCTCTCATTATTTAGCCCAACATTCCTAATTCAGCAGCTTATTTACAAAGTTCCACTTCTGTGACTTACAGCTTTTAAAGCCGCAATAAATCTGCTTGTGTGTGTGTGTGGGAGGGGGAAAAAAAAGAAAAAAAAAAATGATTCAAACCGGCATTTTTTTAGAGCAGAAAATGTGCTGGAAGCACAAATTAAAAAAGAGCCCATAATTCATTGTGAGGGGGAGTTTAAACGGCTAAATATTACATTTACTGCCTCTGATTTATCGCAAAGACGATCAAATCCATTTGATTCGTTCGGCCGCTCAGGCTTTGGAGAAGTTTCTTTTTTTTGTTTTTTTTTGTTTTAGTTCTCACTTCAGATAGGATTTCAAACACACACTTTCTTCACCAGATCCGAGAGGAGGGAGGGAGGAAGGAAGGAAAGAAGGACAATAGAAATATATGAAAGGAAAAGAAAAGGAAAAAAATTTAACAAGAAGAAATAAAAAAAGGAGAGAAGTAAGGATAGAAAATCGAAGGAAAGAAAGTGATTGAAGACATCAGGGAGGTGAGCAAGGAAGGAAGGACATGACAGAGGGAAGAAGGGAAAGAAAAAAGAAAAGACACATGGAAGAAAGGCAGGAGTCAAGAAGGAAAGAAAAGCAAAAGGAGAGGAAGAAGGAAGTGTAAAGCATTGGAATAAAGGAAGAACAAAAAGGACAGAAAAATGGAAGAAGGAAATAAAATGTGAAGAACATAAGGAGGAAAGGAAGATTAAAGGACAAATGGAAGAATGGAAGAATTTAAGAAAGAGACAAAGGAGAGAAGAAAGGGAGGATATGGAATAAAAAACTGAAAGGATGAAGGGTTTGAATGAAGGAATGACACTGTGGAGGCAAAAACAGGAAGCAGAGAGGAGGAAGGAAGGAGAGCATGTTTGGACAGAAGGAAGAAAAGATGTGAGGAAAAGAAGTAAGAGCAGAATGAAGAGAGAACGGAAAGACATGACAGAGGAATGAAGGACAATGGAACTGCAATGAAGAATGGAAACACTAACATCTCTATTTTTCTTTACACCTTGCAGCTACTGATTTCACACTCTCTTCCAGATGTTTCTGTGCAGTCAGACCGCGGCCCGTCTTACCCGTCAGGTTGCGTAGGCCCAGCTGCCTCAAGCCGTAGAAGCCGTCCCGCCTGTAGTTGAGGAAGATGGCCAGAGCGTAGCGGCTCTCGTACAGCTTGGTGCCTCGGATGATCCGTAGGTTCTCCAGCGGCAGGTACTCGAACTGATTCAGTGCCACCAACACGTAGCCTGTCACTTCTCTTATGGACTGCATGGAATAGGAAAGAACAGGTAAAGGAATTAAACATGAAGATAACCCAAAAGGAGAGAACAGAAACCTGTAAAAGCAGAGTGGAGAAAGCTTCAAGTGACAAGAAGGTCAACATGCTACAACGCTAGCTATGCTAACCCAAAGGACTAATCATAAACATGCTGCTAATGCTAATGCCAAAATGCTATACCAACATGGTGTTTAGAGGACGCTAATGCTAAGTGCTAAAGCACTAAATTCAACCATGTTAAAATAATTCCTGTATATGATTTTTTCTTTAACACCCCTTGTTGTTTGTTAATGTGAGTTTATTCTTCCTCATTTGTTTACTTGTCGTTTGCCAGCCATTTGTTCAATAAAGTTTAGTGAAAAACAAAAAGAAGAATGTAGGAAGAGGAAATGGAACTGCTACATTTATAGCTTTTCAAAAGAAGAGCATCTATCTATCTGAATTATTCTTAGCAATTGACTTCAACTTGAACTGAAAGTTTACAAAGCAGCAAAGTAAATTAGCGCTTTAGAATTGATCCAGAAAAATAAATTAGGGGGAAGGGTAAGACTTTATTTGAAGGGGGTTGAATAAGACTGACATGACACTTTCATAAACATGACATAACACCTGTCATAAACACCTGTCATGAACATGAATAAGCCTTCATGAATATTTATGACTGTTGTCATAAAGCGTCATTCGGTAAATTATGACACTTTTAATACAAAGTTGACATTATTCAAAATGTCTTTGTTATGACAACTTGACATTAACCAAGAAATCATTACTGATATAAATTTGTTTTAAAAGTATTACTGATTAGGTAACTTTATGTTATTAAAGGTAAAGTTTAAACAGTTGAAAAGTTTGCCTGTTTCGATGCAAAATACATAGGAGTGAACGATGCTTAAGTTTTTTAAACAATGCTCAATACAGAGAACTTCTCACTTTTAACTAAGTTTTGGCTGCAGCTTTCTGATTCATTACCTGTGAGGTGCCTCTGCATTCCTTTCATTTCCTGTCTTCAAATTTGCATTTTAAAATGTCAAGCTTATGAAATATTTGGATGTTGAGAGAAAAATGACAGAAATGTCACCTCAGTCACTGCCTGTTTAAACTTCCACAGCCTGAGTTCCTCCGTTGTTTTTAAAGAGAATCTCTAATAACTACTGAAAACATCTACTTCACATTAAAAGTCCATGTGGTTTACTTAGCTTTTATTTTATTCATGTTGAGCAAAAGAAAAAAAGCCAGGAAAATTATTTGGCTTTAATTCAAGTTGAAGTAATCGGTCTTAACAGATTGGAAGACCTCGACCATCTGCCTCTTCGTGTAGCAACTGACCTTCTCAGAAGTCACTATAAAAATCAAGCTGATTATCTCTGTATTTTGGACTTGATGAGGCAAATTAATTCAGCTGCAGAGTCAGCCTGAAGGACCGGGAGCAAAATGAGCGAGCGCTTTGGATTTTTTAAGATATCCTCATTTGAATTCTCAAGAAGAGTGGTAGTACTCAACCTTGGGTCACCACTAAATAAACGCAATGAATAAATGTAAAAAAAAAAAAAAAAAAAAGAGAAACTTATTGGTCAACTGTGCACAGAATTTTGACGCCGTTTGGCTTGAAGCTCTTTCATTATTCATATACAACATAAAAACAGCCAGAATTAGCTACCCTGATCAAGAAACAAGCATTGAAATTGCTCAAAAAGCAGCCTGATTTTTGTTCAGTCTTTGACATTGCTGGTAAATGGATGATAAACACATTGAAGCAAACAGTACAATACAACCGTGACTCCAAAAAGCACCTTTTACCTCTGTTTTCTCAACCATTTCTTCATTTTTATTAATTGCCGAGTGAGTTTTTTATATTTTCTTTTCATCTTTGAGTTGGTCAGATGTAGGACACAAAACTGGCATTGAACTCAATGGTTTCAAGAAGTCAAAGTAAAATGTTCCTTTAAGTTAATTACGTTAATTTAAGTTAGTTAGATTTGTAACTTTTGAGTTAATTGAACACAAACAAGTAATTTGTCATCACAAAACCAAATTAAATAAGTGAGATAAGTGAGTAAATAAGTCCATAAAATGAACTAAAGACAAAAACACTTTTTAAGAGTATATTGAACATCCACGTGAGGGAATGTGAATTAAACATTTTGATAAATTTACTTGCAAACAATACTGAAAGATGTAGCTGAAATAGACACTTTTCATTATGCAAAGAAACGTCAAGGTCCTTTGAAGGTTTCTTCAGCGGTCCTGATGTGTTTCTTTGACTTGGAGAAGATTTAGGTGATTCCCTTCAGAAGAAGGTGTGAGGATGTGGATTTCTGTGTGTGTTTTTGGTTAATTTAGCCTAAAAAGAGAGAGAGAGAGATGTTATTTCATCCATATAAAACTAATGTGAGAAGGTGGGTTGTATTGTCACAATGTATTCCAAGTAAATTTTTTTATTTTCTAGACGCCACCACTAACTGAATCATTACAAGTTCTGTTCTCCAGGAGTCTGGAATGCATTCCTGTTTCTTGGTTCAAGTGGTCATTCTGGTCTCATCATGTGGACATCTAGAGTGAGACGTTTCTGTTCAGCATGAGTTGATAATCCAAGTAAAGATTTCAGGAGCTCTTGTTCTTATTCATATGGATGAACTGAGATCTGTACTGGTCTTTCAAGGTCAAGAAGCTTTTTATTTACTTATTGAGCTCTTTCTTTTTTTTCTTGTAAGCAGTTAGTTTTCAAACTAGCTCCCTCTTAAAGAGGCTTACTCTACTTTAAAGGTATCTCGACGTAAGTCAATTCCTTTGTCATTTGTTTTTGGAAACAGCTGGATGTGGAGTTGGAAGTTTTTTAGTCATCTGGTAAGAATACCTTCAGTATGCCCAGTAGGAACCAGAGCTACTGAGAGGATAAACTCAGTTCAAGCTGCTTCAGCTGTTATGCCTTCAACACGTCTGGGAGAAAAGTAAGGAGTAGAATCAGTGGAAGTGTTTTGGGCACTCGTAAGGACACTTTCCTGGTTGCCTCCTTAGGGGGATGTTTCATAGATTATCCTGCGTTAGGAGACCTTGGGAGAAATTGGGGACCCACTAGAAAGATTAAATGTCACACCTGGTTTAGAAACAACTCAAAATCCCTCAAGATTAATTAGTGGGGGTAGCTTGCCTCTGGAAATCTCCACTTAAGCTGTGACCCCTATGTCGTGTGCTTTGGAGTGGCTTGGGGCAGTGTCAGGTGAAGTGGTTTGGGTGTCTGGTAGAAATCCCGTTTGGATGCCTTCCTAGGGAGGAGGTTTGACAAGAGTCACTAGAAAGAGGCCTTGGGGTAATTCCTGGACTCACATGAAAGATTTAATGTCACAGATATCTTAAGACCCAGATGACTTGGAGGAGGGAACTGTGGTCTGGGGATCTCGGCTTCAGCTCTCATCTCCACAGTCTGGCAATAACCAATGGATATATTCATTCTCCAGAGGACATAAAGTCAAGTCAGTCCTTAATGACCGTTCAAGTCCTATTTTATGTGAATTTCAAACATCCTATGACAGGGTAGGAAGGGAAAAAAAGGTCCTCAAGACTTCTCTTAATGACCAGAGACAGGCCAGTAATGATGTCGATGATTGGTTGGGAGGGAAGGAGTGAATGAGTAATGTGGGGTTTGATTGGCTGCTGACCCCTGGGGTACATTATTGGAGACTGACAGCATGTGGGGGGGCTATATTCTGGGATAATAGCAGGTAGCTGAGATTAGCTTCCATGTTGAGTGCCAAGCAAACACCAGCGCACACCTGCCAACTTGGCCTATTGAAATACAAACACAATAGGAAGGAAACATTCAGCGGAGGTGCTTATTAGCAAGATTACAATGTGTCAATCATTGGGAAAGAGAAAGAGCGACATAATAAAAGAGCAGTAGAATCCATTTCATCGGAGGCTTTGATTAGCATACTTATTGGGAAAATGATTTCCATTGTGGGGCCTGTCATAAACCCTTTGGTAAAATCATCTTCTGTCATATATGTTTCACGAGTTTCATTTGTTTGCAGAACTCACTGCAACTAATGCCATCTTGTGATTCAGCCTCTAAAAACAAAGTACATAGAAAAGGTATTTTTTGCTCCCTCTGGAGAATCGTCTTGAAGTGCCTTCATTGGTCGAAAGTCCTGCTGTTTCATCACTCCGACCCATCCGTAACCCGATGTTTACTGCCGAGTCCCGGTGCGCTTAGCGATCATCGGCTGAACCGTGACCCCCCCGCCCCCCAGGTGTGTGTGGAGGAGGCGTCATGACTGCGCCGCAGCTCGACCCAGCTGTGGGCCCGCACTCGGCTGCTGGCAGACGCCACAGTGCCTCCACTGTTGCCCCCTTCTCCTTTCCAGCCTCCGGGACCTGCTGGCAAAAATCCAACACCAAAAAAAAAAAAAAAAAAAAAAAAAGTTTCCCTGTTTCTTAGCAACCGCAGGAAAGCCTTTCCAGCAGTAGCGGCGAGGGAAGAGTGTAGCAAGCGAGAGGAGAAAAACAGATTTTGAAAGGATATTTTGTTGTAATTTATATAATTAAATTAAAGGATTACCCTGCCTTTCCTCGTTCTTTTCACTTTGACACTATTTAATTTCCTTTGGTTGCAGTATTTTTCTTTTTTTTTTTTTTTTTCCTGAAAGCTTTCTTGATCAATATTTATCTGCATTCCTCTGTGAGACAAGGAGGAGTGAGGTCCGGAGGGAAGTAAACACAAGCACCTGCGTTTTCCCCTCCTGCCACATCAACCCAGCTCTGTTTCAGAGGCAAAAACTCAAAAAGCAAAGGGCCTGTAAGCTGCTCACTGCGGTCCGCTGGGTCAGGTGCTCAAATTTAACAAGATGCGGATGGAAGCTGAAGCTATTACAAATGTGTTCTCTCTCTCAAAAAAACAAAACAAAAAACAAACAAACAAAAAAAAACAATAGATCCAGCAAGGCGAGTGTTAGGGCTAATTTGTACCAACAAGGTGCACAACAAACATCCT